TTGGTGCATTTTGTACGACAAGATGTACTTCTCCGGACGGAGAACTCTTTTGATCTTGATTTCTATAGCCTTCCGGAGTATGTATGCAAAATATCATCTTGATATAAATTTTTTCCACTATTTGTCTATTTTCGAGCCTAATTTACTGGACTATTAGGGGTCTCTTAAATTAAGCCAGAAATCATAACTAATGATTTTGATTTAGTTTTTGGTTTGAGCATAATTTATTTCCAATTTTGGAAACTAGGAGATGGCTGTAATCATTAATTTCGTTCAGTTTGTGTAATTCATTCATATTTGGTAGTGACAGTTCCCCGTGAGCAATTCACATTGATTTTAAGTTGACTCAAACATTAGGGTCTCCAGGGCAGATACTTCTTATGGTAATTAAACTTATGCAGCTTTACAGTTATCCTCAGATGCTTAGCACCATGACTGGTCTTCCCAAATTTATATTTTTCATAGCCAGTGAAGAGAATGGGAGCTTTGCTTATTGATGAGGTTGTGAATAGGGCTAACACTTGAAGTTTATTGCTACTGCCATCCTCCTGTATTTTGCCAGCTTTGGATATCATGGGTTGCTTAATGTGTGCAAAACTATTCATAAGGGTTTGGACCTCAAATCCTAGTTTAAGCCTAGCAAAGATTAGACATCTCCCATTCCCTCCCACTGAAGTGAAGAATCCTGGATTGCTCTGTGGTAGCTGATTCATATTGATCACAGAGAGTTCATGTTAGTGCTGTGGATAAACTCTAGCCCTTTTGAGGCAGATTATTACATTCTTTAAAGATTAAAAAACTTGGATTTTTCCTCTGAATTAGTTGCCTAATTAAAAAAATTTCTAGTTTAGCAACAGTCATTCATATCAGGTGTTGTGGAGTCTGGGTTTTCAACACTGTAGACTGAACACTAACAAATCATTCAATCTGTTCTGTACTGATCTATAAACTGGGATTTCAGGAACATTCCCATATTAATAATGTATCATTATAAAGTATGTTTCCTTGTAACACTTAAATTTGTCTTCTTAATAGGTATCAAGATGAAAGAGCTTAAGGTTAGCGTTACAAAGATGGAGTTTGATCAAGCTTTTGAAAAAAATTTCTCCCCAAATGATGAGAAGAATGTGAATATAATTGAGGAGGAGGCTATGAAAAATTCCTTGTCACCGGAGACTGAGGAAAACAAGTCTGGTGTAGTGAAGGTGGTGCAGGTTATTGGAAGGACCAGTAGATCCCAGTAAAAGGAAAACCAAGAAAGTACCAATGTCCCCTAAAGTAATACCACAGTTTGAGCCAGCCTTGTTCTCAACACCAGATGTCATGCTTAAGGTTGGTGAAGTCAATTCAACCCAGGCTATAGTGGTTAAGGGAAATGGTAAGTCAGTCAAAACTCAAAAGATTTTTCTAGTTGAAAAACAAATACGAAAAGATGTTGGACTGACAAGTGTAAGTGTGAAGGAAGCAAAAAGAGAATCCTCTTGTTAAATTTGATGATATAGATGGCCCAAAAATCTTAGCCAACACAAATGAGAGTATTATTCTCTACATCTGATACTAACCAGAAGAACAGCAGTGAGCTAGTTTCAGATGTGTCAGTTGCTGAAACCAAGGCCAGCAAGTTTGTGGAGAAGAAGAAAATTGGTAATGAAGTAAAACCAAGAGTCCTTCAAGTGAAGAGCCCTATGGGAGTTCGACGTGTTGTAGTCTTAAATTCTGCCAAAGCTGGAATGTATCGGGAGACTCTAGTGAAAGTCATTCCCCCGAAAGACTACCGCCTCGAGAAGATGAGAAAATGTCACCTGCAAAACAAAGGATGTTAGCAAAACAGAGGACAGACTCAGAAAAAAAAAATTTGTTTTCAGAAGCATGAAAGTATTGATCCCATTACTGGAGCTGTGAATGAGGATGACAACATTAAAGAAACTTTCAAGGGAGACATGCACAGTCAAGGGCATGTGCATAAGAAGACCGAAGGAATAGAAATTCAGAGAATTGGAGATCCACATAAGTCTGAAGAAGCTGCTTTGTCAAAGAAAAAGGAAGAAGCTCAGAGGAAGAAGGAAGAAATACAAATGAAGAGAGATGAACTGTTAAGAAAGCGAGAAGCAATACAGAAGAGAAAAGAGTTGCAGAAAAAAGAAAATATTCACCAAAAAAGAGATGATGAAAATGAAAAGAAGAATGAATTTTTTTTTAAAAAAAGAGAGAAAAATATACCTAATAATAAATCAGAAATACAGAAAAAAGATATAGAAGTTCAAAGAAAAAAAACAAAGGAAATATCCAACAGCCCCTCAAAGAGTTTACAAGTATCCAAAACCAATAAACTAACACGGAGCCCCACTGCAGAAGAGTCACCAGTAAGACGTAGCAACAGAGCTATAAAGAAAAAGACATTTGGAGATGAAATGTTGACTTTTGACATCAAGGAAGATTTAGCTGCAGATGTAGAAGAGGAACAAGTACCAGAGGAAGAAGTGGAGAGGAAGGAGATGAAGTAAGTTGTGTTTAGCACAGTCACCTTTTTACTGTATTACGTATAATATTAGTCAAGATTAGCATGCGTCAGTTTGCCTATGTGATATAGCTTCATTGTGAACTTTTATATGTCTAACCATCCCTAACAAACAGGTCCTTAATCGAGATAAATTTTTAACCCTATGGCTGCGGAGGTTACCCTAAGCTGAATAAAATCGTCTCACGGTAGCCAGAATTAAATGGCAAGGGTCGGAAATGCAGCGAAAGGGTTAAATAAACAGACAAACCCATCCTATAGTGTACACCTAACCAAGCATTTTTTTTTTTTTTTTGTAGATTCCTTATTTACACTGCCATCCTTTCTACTACACTCTCTTTGTATACAGTACTTGCCTACCTGCATACGTGTTATAATACAAATTCCATCCTTTTACACACATCCTCTCATATTCGGTCATTCCCAGCTACAAATTTAGTTTTACATTAATTTCAGATAGGTTGTATACTGTAACATCTTTGCATAATGACTGTTTTGTTTGTTTTATTGTTGAATAATCCTCTCACCTAACCTTATGCAACAATAACTAGAACCATTCATCCCCAAGGACTAATAGACCAGCTGCCTTACTTCCCCAAACCTAACCCTTTCATTATCTAGCCACACATACAACCTGGAAAACTGTACATGATCTTTCATCTGACCACCACCACATTATCATAACATCATCTTGATAACAAACTAACTCCCACATCTAACAAAACTTACTTCAACTCCAAGGAATTACATTTCAGCAAATCAGTAATAAAAGCAAGCAATTCCTACTTCACCAAGAAGCACATACAGTACAGTAAAGGCAAATTCCAAATTCATTATTACTACCGGTAGTCAAACAAGCCAGCCCACAAGAAAGAAAAACTCAGTCAACATCAGCAGACTTAGAAAATATAAAAAAGTGCTGATGATGATGACTAAACAACCACATCAGCAACCAAAAAACGACTACTATGAAGAATAATAAACAATCTAAACCACAAAACGAACAATATACTTTTTTGTGGAACTTTAAGAGACATACATACTTAACAAAAACCCTCCTCCCATACATGAAGCAGTACTAAATCCAAAAGTTTTCATCCAAACCACAGACACTAACAAATAATGTAATGGAGTACCATACATGAAGCACGTACAACCAGAGTGGACAAATCGCCACTATGGTCTAAATCAAGATTTATTCACAAAAGGATAGGGAAACCACCTCTGCAAGTGGCAGATCACAGATAAGAAAGCACCAGAGGTCTCTTATTTTTTTCCTGGCACTTTGTCCACTCTGGTCGTACACATCTCACATGTTCTATACAGTGCTATACATTTGTTCAGTACAATCTTTCCTCCTAATGAATAAGAAACTCATGAGAAAATTAGAACACAAACAAGACAGCCAATACCAACCTCCTTTCATCTCATTTTAAGTCCAAACAATCATTAAAAAATGCAGAAAACATGAGCCACAGCCCCCAGATAACATCTCCAGCACCCATTGGATCAGTAGCCATAAACATCCTTATTGTAATTGTCAGTCATTCTTGGACACAACTGACTACTGGCAATGGAGAAGAAAACCATCAGTATGCCTCTACACCAAGAAAACCATAATCATCTCTCTTCTCTAAAACAATTCATCATTGGAAGTTTAAGAGTATTGGGAGGTTGTCCTCACTCATTTTGTCCACCACCCTTCTAATTGCTGCTAGAGTTACCTCCATCAGTGAATTGGCAAAGATTGATTTAATGTTGAAGCTGACCATTTTTCAGTTCTTCAAGATAACATTTTCAACCGCTTCATCCGGTTAGCCGAGTTTCACAGGTGGGTTCCGCTGAGCAATCACAGGGCACCTGATAGAGGTTTGGCCAGCCAGCTTCTTGGCCAATCAGAGTGGGATGGAGGGCTGCTTCTAACACCTATTAGGTGAATCCCCTGTCCCCTATGTAGGAGGGTCTGTTGAAGACTCACAAGCTGGACATACCACTAAGACTTATATTATCAGGCTTGTGTCTCCTATGCCTCCATACTCCTCTCTGTTCAAAGGTGACATTTTCAAAATAATGAATACATCAGTGTAGAAATGGGTAACTTAACTTCAGGACACCAAGCTTAGGTCAGAAACATAAATTCCTTCTCCGGCTTCAGAATCCACCCATTTGGAGATTCTCAAGAGATCTGTAGTCTCTTCAGCTTACTTCGCCCTGACCTCCACCAACCTATGGAGATGACCGAGTAATAGCTTCCTGACATACAACAACCTCCTGAGGCATCCAACATACTTCAGCAGTATGTGTACACCCTAGAAAACATTGGCATATTCAGAACCTCATGGCAGCACTCTGCTCATGACACACTTTACTCCAGACAGACATGGATTTTTTCACCCACACATTACGCATATTATCCAACAAATACCCAACTACATAACAAAACCACTTGGCATCACACTGAACACACACATGACCAACATACAACATAGATAACAGCATTGCAAAAGTTACACCTAAGTCTATCCAGAAAACTGTCACTACTATTGCATATAGAAAGAAATACAGTCAACCCTCACTTCTTGCGGTTAATACAACCCACAGGGCACCCATGAAAAGTGAAAATATCTAGAAGTGAAATGAAATATAACATATGGGATTAATTGAAATAGTGACCGGCCGACCCCCAAACTCCACTTTTTGACTACACACAACTGTTGGAGTAGCACTTTATCTTAACTTTTATGATGGTATGCACACACACTAATATAGTATGAGGTTAGGTTTGGAAAATAAAGGTTAGGCTAGGAAAACTTAAAGTTAGGGTTTGACTTACGTTAGTAGAAGAGAGATGGCCATGGGATGGAGGCTGGTTCTGGAGGCAGAGGGCAGGGCTACTGGCCTCAGGTGAGTCACCATCACTGTCATCCACACTTGTCATGGCCTCCTGACAAATCTCTTCCAAAGTCATCTTCATTGTCTTACCTCTGTCACATTACTGGCTGGGCTGGGCTGTGTGGGTTGTGGGCGAAGAATTTCTGTTATGCTTTGCTGACGGCTGGTGTTTATGTTGTCATGGATACACCTTTGATGTAGGGCTCATAGTCTGCAACAGCTGGCAGTGAAGATTTCATACCTGTTTGCGCCAGGTCAGCTGAAAGGAGGAGCTGACTTTCGGTTACACCGATGGCACCCCTAACATTACTATGGATAAGCGGTGTTTTTTCTTGGATGACGCACCACCGCCTCTTCACTGACGCCATCATTCACCATCTCGCCGGTAGTCACATCAGGATCCCTTTATCGCCTCCAGGATGTCGCTACAGGGTCTTCGGAGAAGCCTGCAGCTGTAACACTTGTGCAGCTTCTTCTGGCAAGGCCTATTTCGCTACTGCAACAGTCTGAACTCACCAGTCACAGATTGACTCTGCCTAACGCGTCGAATGCTCTGCAACACATGTCTCCATGCGTGACTTAACAGTTGCTATGTAAGACAGCGATCCTACGTCACCAAGAAGTGCACAGCTTTCTTTGATGTTGAATATTCTCTTGTGAATTGCGAAAAAGTACTTTTTGCTCTGCCAACTGTTGATCCTCGGGTCAGTTTCGCTTCTTTTGCTATCGGTGGTGGTGGTTACCAGGTTACGAACTCTTCCTGGTAAGCAGGTGTAGTCGCTCAGGAGCTTGAATTTTTTAGTAGAGAATGCAGCTTTTACATTACAGATTAACTCTTGGTCCATGGGCTGTAATATAGACGAGTGTTGGGAGGAAGGAAGATCACTTTTACGCTGGGGGTGACGATCTGAAGCAGTGTCCTGCAGCGCTGTCCAGCAGCAACAAAAATTGAATGGCACATTCTGTTGCTCACAGAATTTCTTTTTACATCGAAACGTAAACAGTTATCAAAACCAGAGAGGGACAGTGAGAACATCCACACGCTTATTTAAGCGGTCAGGCCAGTGACATTTAGCTTGGTCATGTCCATGCTCTTGTAGGCGCAGGGCTTGCGTATGTGGATCACCGACACCAGCTTACAGGTACCGGAGGCATTGGTGGTAAACAGGACGGTGATAGCCCCTTCTAAGCACTTCCGCCCTCAATCTTGCTGCATTCTTTTTCACAACGGTTGTCTGGAAGGTAGCTTGTCAAAAAGACCAGATTCGGGTTCATGTTAAACACCTGGTCGCCGTGTACTGTCTTCCTCCATAATCTCACGAAAAACGGAGGAAATTCTCTAGCCTAAACACCTGTCAGCACTAGCTTCTTTTTCACCACCAATGTTGATATTGGTGATCTTGTTCTCATCTTAAACCTCTGTAACCACCCAGAGGAAGCTAGCATTAAAGGGTTTGGGCCTGAAGTTCTACTCGTGCTACTGCCAAGTGTACAGTTCACGCGGGCGTAGTCCTTAACAGAGCGTGGTCGATCGCTATGTTCACGCGCCTGACGACCAAGCACTTACAAGCAATTTTTCTGTCTGGAGAAGCACCTGGTCAGAAATACTTGATCATAGAAGCACCTGTAGACTTTGTGATTCCTCATGTGCCTCTTTATCTTGGCTGAATCCTTCTTTTATAGTCCCGGATCGTAGATTGTCACGCCATGCCGGGCGCGCCAAATCAACCTGCCTTGTTCTTTCTCCAACCTCTTGGATGATGCTATACTTCACCTCGGGGAAGCTAAGGAACGCCGTGGTCTTCTTTTGGTTTAGTGCCGCTGGGTCCAGTTAAGGAAAGGTTTTCTGGGGGTAGAACCGCGGAAGTCATTTTTACGGAACAATGATATACATACACGGAGGGCCTTGAGGGACAGAAACCGCGCGGCGTAGGTTGTTGCCGTTTTTCTTCCTTTCCCTCCTCTGTGATACGCTTACAATACTTTTGCCAACACAGCGAAAACGAGGGGGTAGGGATGCATGGCCAATCACAGGTCTGAGGCCAGGAGAAGCGACGCCAGTGATAACACAGCATACGACACTGCGCATT